GTATCCCCTCCCGAGCCCGCTGCCTGACGTGTGGAGCCCAGACATGTCGGTGGCTGCCGAGGTTACCATTCCCCCCCACCTAGCCGTGCCAGCAATCACACTGCGCTCTGAAGCGAAGGCGACGCTCCGCGTACCAGCCCTTCGCATCCCGAGCCATCACGGCAGCTCCGCAGCCGCGCTCCGATGGCAGGAGAGGGGCTTTGGGGGGGGAAGTTTGTCAGAGGGATTCAGAGGAGAGCCAGCCTGCTGGGGAAGGGACTAACAATAGCAGAGCCCTCACGACTTCCACGCTTTTGGTGGAAAACGCAGTGTTTCCCTCAGAAAGCAAAAAAAGGACTTACGTGTCTCTTCCCCCGCCCCCCATCTCCACCTCGCTCGCGGTTTGGTTGTTGTTTTTTTTTTTTTTTTTTTTCTTGCTTACACATAAAATAATTGTAATAGTCTTTAAAAGGTGTTTGTTATTCCCCATGCCCGGGGAGCGCGGAGGGCGCCGCGCCGGGCGGGGGCCGGGGGAGCGGGTCTGCGGGGAGAGCAGCCTCCTCGTAGCGGGGAAAGAGAGCTACCATGTTCGTGTCGTAGCGAGGGCATGTCAGGTTGGGTTTTTTCCACCCAAATCAATGTAGCCTGAGAAGCTCACGCACACCTGGCGATCAAAGGGCCCCTCTGTCAGTGTACAGGGGTATCTACACCCCCACGGAGGATCCCGTCATTTCCAACGTAAGGTTTGCGTGCAGAATCTTTGGATAACTGTATTCGCGTTTCAAAAATCAAGGCTTGTCTTTCCTCCCCTGCCAACCTCTTTATGTTAGATCCTGGCTAGCCGTAGTAAGACAGTGAAGGCGACTATGTGGCACACATATCATGTCAGGTGTTTTCAAACTTTTTGAAGGCGATTTAGCCGGAAAAAAACCTCATCATCTTGTCCAGCCTTCGGGATGACACAAAGAAATGGCCCGGTGCTCCTCCCACTGAAGACAAAAACAATACTTGCTTTAATCGGGGCAGAATGTATATAAATCCTGTATTGGTGAGAGTTGGGGGGGGGGGATGACTGCATAAATTAGAAACATTTACAAAAAGACCAGTGTGAAAAAAAATTTGGGAGACTGGTGATTCATTGGCCTAATTATCCTCCATAAGACGTTAGGGTATGGGTTTAATGTTGTGGGTTGGATTCTCCCTCCCCCAGCCTGTGTCTCGTCAACGCGCATTATCCATGGGGAAAAGGAGATGCAGGTCATGTTTAAGCAGCGTTAATGAGAGCACAGTATTTTTCCTGAAGGTTAAGTTAGCCAGGTTAGCAAATTTCAGGTAAAGTATGCTTGAAAACCTTCCATTTCTTTTACTTTCTCGCTGGTAGCAGTTTCTAACGAGACTTGAAACACCAGACAAACACAGAAAGCAGAATTCAAGCATCAGACGAACCCACTACTGTCAATAAGGGAGTACAATTTCAGCTTGACAGGAGTATTACAAGAATATACCCGCTAACGAGCAGCCTTAATTGGCCTGCATATTGTGGCTGTCACTGTTAAAACCTGTTCCTATACAGTCCTATTTTATACATCCTTTAAACGTATAGTTCTCTAAAGCAGCTAAGGAGACAATACTTTACTCACTGGGCTTTTGATTTTGGGTGGGAAAGAAATGGGAAGAAAAGGAAATTAAAGGAAAATAGGAAACCCTATTAAGAATATGGTATCAGTGACTGAAAAACTACGTGAAAGTCAAACGTATAGTAAAAAAGCAACAGACTTTTTCGGTTTCAGTGCACTTTGTCAGTTTTGAACGTAAATTATTATTTATCCATAGATTGCAATGGCTGCAGAGGTTTCACTGACATTTACTATGCTCACGTCTTTTAAAATGTAGTGTGTTCTTTAACAGATCCCACCTTTTTCTCAGCAGGACACTTTGTCTTAAAAGTATTTTTAATTTAGTGATTTGCAGGAGTTCGCTGCTCGTCCTGGCAAATCCTTCACACAATAGAGTTTAATGGGTGGCTTCAGTTTCCAGCACAGGGTCATGCTCATAAAGAATACAAATGAAAGAGAAGATATTAAAAAAAAAAAAAAAAGTTACTGCGCATGTGCAATTGGCAGTTATTAAATGATAACAATGTAACTCCTAGATAATAAAAGTCAAAATACCAAATAGGGCAGAGCAGATCATGCCCTAATGCTATGTAAAGTGCCTTACTTTAAAGAAGTTATTCCAAGTCTGATTTAAAACCGCCTAACCTGCAAATTTGAATATAAAATACCGTTGCAACTGACGACTGCAAAAGTCATTTATATGTATAATGAAACCTTAAAAAGATCTTCCAGACCAAGTTTCAATCAATAAAATGCTTCCTATTGTCAAACTCCGGAAAACGGGGAGGAAAGACCCTAGGGACAATAGTGCTGGTGAGGGCAAACGTAATTTTGAGGCGGTGAGCTGGATACGTTGTTTATTGGCACAAAAACAAGATAAATGAAGGCATTTAGCTCAACAAAGCACTCTTTGACTAGGAAGAAAAAGTCTGGCTAAGTATGGCAACACCTGTAATGTCCCTCACGTTCTGAGGGTTAAATTGCCAGGCTGCAAGGAAGTACTGTTTAAACTACCCTGCCCCGTGGACCTCTCGGAGAAAACAAAATGCAGGCGAAGGCAGCTTGTAAAAGAAAGGAAGCAGTATTTAAAGGCAGCGACTTGGTGCTTTACCACAGCCATCCTCACATCGCCTAATTAGAAGGCATAAAGCCTCTCCCGCCTTTACCTCGACGAGCAGAGTCATTAGGGCGACGAGGGCGCGTCCTCCCCCGCGGCCGGGCCGCGGCGGACAGCTAAGCGCTGCCTGCGGAACAATGGCAGCCAACTCCAAATCCTGCTATAATCACATTAATGAGATTAATCAGTGAATTAGCAGCAGTCAAATGTCAGGGTGGCAAGGAGGAATCCAACCAAGCTCGGTAATTAACTTTTGGGGGGCAGGGGAAGGGAGCCGACTGTGTTATCTGTTAGGCTTTTCTCGAAGTTTACCGGGTTTTATTCAGGAGCCTTTGGAAGATGCTGACGATTCAAGTGGAGGGGGGAGGAGGGGATAAGACGGAGACCTCAACCTTTGCGTGCTACGAGACAGCCTGCTCACACACAGTATCCCGTTACTTCCAGCTGGAGTCCATTGAGGAAACTCGTACCGTTCCAGGCAACCCACCCCAGCCGCCAGAGCTGCGCTGGACTGAACTCCGAGTGTGAAACTAGTTCTGTGATCTAACTTCCAACGCAAAGTCCAATAGGCATGATAAATATGGCCGATGCCAAAGGAGTACGAAATCTTACTCCTTTTATAAAATCTGCAAGAAAGATGCTCTTTCTGAAATCAGAGGGGTAGGAGAAAAGAGTACCCTTGAAACAACTGTCAGCAATAGGTTATCACGACAAGTTAATCCTAGATCTGTTGCAGGGTGGTTTCTAAAACAAAGAAAGAGGAATTCTAATCAAGTAATTTAGAGTAAGTTACTTAATGTAGACAAGTCAGAGATCTGGTCTCTAGCTGACCTCAGTAAAAGTGAAACTTCTCTCCACCTGAAATTCAGCATCCACGACCATTTCTCTGTTGCAAGCACGAAATATAAAAAGAGATTCCCCGTAGATTA